CTAGTTATCTAGTTCTCTTCTTTAGTTTCTAAAGGTTTACTTAAAGCTAAAAATAGCTAAACATGTCAGCGATAACTCAAACCTAGCAAAGTCTAGCTAAAATCTAAAATGAGTATAATGCTTGATAAATACTAAAACGTAGCAAAAGAAGGCAAAAATGAAGCAAGTATGCTGAAGCAAATTTATAAAATAGCAATGTATTGACAATAAATCTCAATGTATTTCTGTGGGTAAACCATATGCACCTTCTTGTTTTGGTGGTCCCAATGTCTCCTGAGTTGGAGAGGCCCGAATCGGCGGACCTTGAAGTTCGTGAAGACGTAGAAAATAGACCAGCCAAAACAAGAAGGTGCATATAGTTTACCCACAGAAATACATTGAGATTTATTGTCAATACGTTGTTCTTTTATAAATTTGCTTCAGCATACTTGCTTCATTTTTGCCTTCTTTTGCTACTTTTTAGTATTTATGAAGCATTATGCTCATTTTAGATTTTAGCTAGACTTTTGCTAGGTTTGAGTTATCGCTGACATGTTTAGCTATTTTTTAACTTTAAGTAAACTTTTATAAACTAAAGAAGAGAACTAGATAACTACGTCTTCTGTCCTCACTCCAGATACTTCCTCTCTAACTGCATCCATATATCTCTTCTTAGTCTTTTTCTTGGCAGATGCATCTCTAACATACTTCTGCCAATATATCCACTGTCCCTCCTCTGGACATGTTCAAACCATGTCAGACTGRCCTCTCTAACTTTATCTCTCAGTTATTCAACCTGTGCTGAACCTCTGATGATCTCATTTCTAATCTTCTTCATTCTTGTCACTCCGAAGCTCAACAGCTTCCAGCTCTGACACTTCCAGTTCCATCTCCAGTCTTTTTATTAGTGCCACTGTCCCACCTCCACCTTGAAGTTATCTGTCCCCCCCCTACATCTCACCATTGTTCCACTGTACATGTCCTGCACCAGTCTAACATAGTTTTTGGCCACTCCAGCTCTCATACAACGCCACAGCTCCTCCTTCCGCACCCTGTCGCTTTTTCTAAATCCACAAAAACACAACAAATTTTTTTCTGATCCTCTCTGTACCTCTTCATCAGCATCCTCAAAGTAAAAATGATGTATGTCATGTTCTTTCTTGGCATAAAACCATACTGCTGCTCACAAATAGTCACCTCTTGTCAAAGCTTAAACTCCACAACTCTCTCCCAGATTTTCATTGTGTGGCTCGAAAATTAATTACCCTGTATTTGCTACAACCCTGTACATCTGTACAAACTGCAGTCATGCTGTTGCTGAGTCTGAAGAAGACAGAGAAAATAACTATGAGAGTATTACAGTATATCCATCCATACATTTTCTGTACACGCTTCTTCCTTTTCAGGGTTGCGTGGGTCACTGGTGCCCATATCCAGCAGTCACAGTGCGAGGGGCGGGGTACACCCTGGACAGGTCGCAAGTCCATCACAGGTCCACACATAGAGACAAACAACCATTCACTTTCTCACTCACACCTAGATACAATTTAGAGTTATCAATTAACCTAACAGTCATGTTTTTGGTCTGTGGGAGGAAGCCGGAGTGACCGGAAAGAACCCACGCATGCATGGAGAGAACATGCAAAAAAGGTCCCTGGGACGGGATTTGAACCGTTGACCTTCTTGCTGAGAGGCATCAGCTCTACCAACTGAGCCATCGTACCTCTCTTTTAAGGTCTTATTACAGTATGTGAAATGAAAGCTACTTTGAATGTAAATATAAAAGTGAATGTGCCCTTTTTAACAATGGAGTGTTTGTAGTGGCATTAAAATGCTAACAATCAACTCTGAATCATAAAACAACCTGATTGGACCCCTCAAAAGTTACTTAAGGCCCAATTTTTTTTTAAAAATCCCTTTTTCGTTTATCAGTACCCAAATTGAGAAGGTTTTTTTCAAGGTTTACCACAGGAGTTGAATTTAACCATTTTAATACATGATATAATACACATTTACAAACATTTTGGTGAAGAAATTGTTTGGTAACSATTTAGTTTCCAGATTTGTGAAATATCTCATAAATTGCTCTTACTGCTCTTTTCCTTCCATGCTCTTCATTCCTCAAACTACCTCTTCTATCTCGCCAATGAACTGCCCTCACTTGTTAGAATGTTACTGTTTATCTTTAACAAGCCTACCCTGCTGCACATCCTTTCTCCCCCTCCTTAGTGTCCAATTGTACRACACAGTTGTAGCTAAAACTAAATATTTTTAAAAGTATATATACTTAGCACAAAATGTAAGGAATGTGTGTTTGGTAGATTATTTTTTTGTTGTAACAACGCTTCTTGGCAATAAATTTTACACAATTGGAAAGTCTGTTAAATTCCCTTTGAAATGGTGCTACAAGGAACATGCATTTGTGGGATGAGAAGAGCTTTGATGTTGCTATTGACACTTGTTTTGAGCTTCTGGTACCACCTGGTGCAGGTGCCTGCTATAATATTTAAAGCCAAGAATCATTGTTGCAACAAAGAAATAATTTACCAAATACAGATTCCCTTACTTTTTGTGCTAAGTATAAAAATAATCTTGAATGTACTCATCACTTGAACAGAATATTTTGATATATGAATGGGTAAAAAAATGTACGCAGAAATTAATTGCAAAATAAATAAATAGTGAATGCTGAATTCACATTTAGCAAAGTATTATTAAATAATGATCGATCTGAAAAGATGCTCTCAGATGAAGCCTTTCAGTTTCCTGAAACTCTTTCCAAATACAACCAGACTGACTGAAGGTACATTTAAACACTTTTCCTGCATTCATGTGGGAGGAATTTGATGTGTGAGAGACCACGCATCTCCTGTGCATCTTCAAGTCAAAGACTTACACGAGCCAACTTGTAAAAAAAAAGATTTCTCTAAGTTGACTGCACTCACTCATTTCCATGAAGAGTTGCCTCTTCTCCACCATGGCCTTGCCTCGTTTGCTGCCTTCCTCGATCATTCTGTGACACATCAAACACAAGAGCACACACAGTTTACAGTTCACACAACAGCACAGCAAGAAACACAACACACAGCTCTTTACATGAGCAAAGATACTCAGAAATGATGCAAAGAAGATTTAAATCCAGTTGTGTATGTAGAGTAAAGAATGCACATCGTCCAATGTCTTTCACACAAGAGTTTTAGACAAAGATTATTTATGATGAAAAATTGTTAAGTTTAAGACATTCTGGTAAAACAAAAACTCCTTAACCTTGCAAATACTTTTATGTGTGATGTCATGCTCTATTGCAGAATCTGGTGAGGTGTCAATGCTCAAAACTATCCCCTCTTACAAACAGTGCTGGACGTTTCAGGCACTGTCTGCTCATGTAGGATCTTTAGCAGCTAAAATTCCAACTAAAAGCATCAAAAAGAAATAAATTAATACTTAACA